TTGACTGACAACGGATGCACTCCCGGCTGAAGTTAAAAATGGCCTCCCACTTCAAATGAACTGAACAGCATTTGTGCAGTATTTTGTGGAAAATGCATGAATTTATTCATATATATTTATTTTGGAAGAGAATTCATAGCCAACTAAGTATATCTACAAAAATACATAAGAAGCGGCATGCTGGTCAAATTATTCATTTTCTTTTGCTAGTGGGGGCATTCGGAAATAAGGAGGCATAATGTTCATTTTCAGCAATACGCTGAAGTGTCAGTCAGTCAATACTCTCAGAGTATTTTAGAGAAGATAAGCAGCTAGTGTAACTAGTCCTCATTAATTGAGCTTCATGTGCTTCGCCTAGACCATCAAATGTCAGGACTTTCACTGGCCTAATTAATACGACTATAAAGAAATGTGACGTTTCGAAATGTGGAACTTCATTAATTATTCTAGAACGGCTTACTACCCATTTCTCTATCATGCTTGTTTATTCTAGCAGCTTTTTCTAAGGGCTTTCACGATATTCTCTGTAGAAAACTCAGACAGAAAAAGCAAGAACACATACAAAATTCCTCTGCTTTGTTACAAGCTGTTATTTTAGTAAACGCCATTTTCACTAATGACACTTCAAGATGTATTTTTAAGTTACTTCAGAGAATGACAGCGGAGTATCAGCCTCACTTTGGTGACGATTACAAATATCTCACCTGTCTTAAAAGTCAGCTCTTCCAGGCCTCCTGATTTTTTTTTTTTTAATTTGGTGGACCATATGGGAGAGTTCAGTAATTCAGATTATGTTTACTTGAGACAAAGTCTCCCAAAGTCCATTTCTAAAGGCTACCAGCATTTCAGGAGAATTTGAGAATGAAACAAGGGATCTGATTTTATCCTAGCTTTTACATGGCATCCGCTACCCTTGGGGAAGCATCAAACACTGCTTCCAACAAATACTTGAACTTTACAGATCAGTAAGAACGGACTCTGCACGTGCCTTCAAGACCATCTTCCAGAACTGCTAGCCTGCTAGCCAGCTGGCCACCTCTCAATCGACCTGAGCAAACCTGAAGAACTTGCTGTAGTCACCAAACCGTCCGTTTGAATCAGAGCTGTGCTGAAGTCTCTCCCAGCGATATATATATATTTTTTTAACTTTTCCTCCAAATGAATTGTAGTTTGAGCCCATACGATACTCTGCGTGCTCAAATTATTTCTGAAAAAGAGATTACCCAAATAAACGTTGTGTGTGAGGACAGGGGGAAACAGAAGCAAACAGACTGGAGAAAGGAGGACTAAAAAAGAATGGAGAAGGAGGACATTTAGCTACAGTCTGAGGGAAAACCAGAAGGCATGGAGGTGAGAGGACCTGCCCAGGAATGGAAACAGGCAGAGGGAATCAGAGACGGGTTCATGCCAGCCCCCTATCTTCTCTCTTTTGTGCAAAACGAAAACCCTTCAGGAGTATCCACATCTTTTCCTCATCTCTCAAGTGACCTAGAGTCTGATGAGATCCTGAACGTTTGAAGGAGTCCTCTTTCCCTGAGCCCCCTCATACCCAGTGCAGTCTAACACCTTGGAGGATCTCCCTCTTCCGGGGTCCTTAACTCCAAGGGGATTAAGTACCAGGACCAGGAGATGAAGGCAACAGAAATAAAAGTCTCTTTAGCCTCAGAAACAGATAATTAAGGGACAGATTTCGCCTCCTTGTGGTGGAAAGCTGACCACAATGAGAGGGAAAAATGATCTAGTTTGGAAGGGGCCACCAGGGTGGACTTGGAGCCTTGCCTCCGGCAGCTTGGAGGAAACAAGGGGAAGGCAGCCTACCAAGATGACACCCATGGTGGGGGCATGAGACCGGTGCCAAACACAGCACAGGTGGTATAACAAGCCACATGTGCAACCCGGCCTGTGATACACATCCTCTTCTTATGTGCTACAGGGGCAAGAAGGGAAGTATCGACTAGAAAAAGTAGCGTAGGGAAGGTATCTTCTGTGACCATCACACAGTAAAACTGTCCACAACCCAGGACGCAGTTTCTGTCCGTTTTTTTCACCGCATAGTCCGAACATTTTTAGGCAGGACCATGAGACCCCTTCCCACAATAACCAAGTGGACAGAAATTGGGACAGGTGCTTGGAAATCACATCCTATTTTTCTAATAGCTGCAGTAACATCACCAGCAATAACTACAAACGCGTAACTAATCATTAAAATGTTACAAAGAACAAATTCGTTCTTAATTAAAAAAAAATCTAGGAAATTCAACAACGTGAGGGTTTACTGGTGCAGGACTGCAGATGTTTCACGGTATTTGTTCTTCTTCCAGAACTTCAAGTTCAGCACAATTTAAAAAAACCCTGCCAACAAAAACTCCAAAATGGAAAATACTGAGTGAAGGTACCTGGGTGCACATTTGTTCTACCTTTCTCACTAGATATCCCTAGATACACATTTGTACCTTGCCTTTGCATTGAGCACAAGCTGTCTACACCTTTTCTGCAATCAAACATTCAGCCTGCTCCTTGGGGGAAAAAGAACCCTACAATCTGCTACATTTGACAACACTTTCACCCATCAGTTCATGTCATCTAATCCTGTGCTTTCATTAGCCATCCTTAAACCCACATATCACACTTAGCTGGCACACTTAGCTGGCACACTTAGCTGACCTAACTGCTGGCAGTCCCCACGACAAGATCATCGCTTTGTCCGCTCATTGAAACACTACAATGCAGCGTGAAAATCAAATGCTACACCACGCAAGGTATCCATCAACCCATTTAGGTGGGCCAGGTACAGGGGGCAAAAGAGAAGGGATCCATATCTGCATTTAATACCAGGGAGGCATATAATTGCTTTTGGCTACTGCCAGCTTCCAGAAAAAAATGAGTACAGTTACTGCAGTGTGCAGCTTAACTTCATTTTCTAGATCTTCAAAGTTTGAAGCAACTGCATTTGTTATTTAATTTTATTTCCTTCCTGAACTCAATTTACTATTGCAGCACTTAAAGCCTACACAACAGATTTGCTGTTTTATCAATATTATCAATTCCACCTTTGGAGAACCTCTCTTATGCAAAGCACAATAGTAAATAAAAAAAAGTGAACAAGAAAGGTTTTACATAATACGATTCCATAACTTATGCAGTTCATCTTTAAAGCTCTTATTTATTTTTAAGCACAAATAGACACTGCAGCATGCTGAGGGTGGGAGAGCGCAAAGGGAGCGAAGAGAAAAGTTAGATTCTGCTACTCAAATACCAGAACCGTTCTTTGGACAAAAACCAAATTCTTCTGAGGCTGTGATTGCGAGATCTGTTAAATCTCATGCTGACTTCTACCAGATGAGACTTTTTTTTTTAAAACTTGATGGTGAAAGACAGAAAAAATCTCTAAGAGCATGAAAAGCTGAAATCTAAGCATACACGGCCTGACAATATTTCTCAAGGAAAGCAGAAATAACACTACTGTCAGTTTCCAGACTCCCAGTGCTTCCTAACACAAAACTTGCTTTCATGTTTGTATTCTTGTGTGCTCCTACAGGAGCTCAACATGACAAAATGGAAATTCAAGAGGGGCTGCACGCATGTGTGCCTGACAGAAAGAAAGCCAACAAATTTAAAGTTCGAGTAGTATTTCATTAAAGCTGTCAGCTGTTTTCGCCTCCTGCTGTGGCCTTCCCACAGGAAGCTCATCTGATCAATTAATAGAAGTCTGCATACAAAATCCAAAAAAGTGCTCAGATCAGGCAACTTGTGATTAAAACAATTAGGAACTAAATACATTCCACAGACTATATTCATATACATTTAAATTTGCCAGATTCAAATGACTCCTGTTCTAGTAACATCGCATTTGGCTCATACTCCATTTCACACTGATGACAAAAGTCATGAGAGCAATTCCAAAACACAGACTGAAATGAGTTCATTGTATATGAGCAAATATATGGCACTGATTTGCTAACAGCTATAACGTAAAGCCTGAAAACCGAATAACGACAGTAAGGAACTATTGGAGCAGTTAAATCACAGAGCAGATTAATAAAGATTAATAAGACTCCATAAAAGTAGCATATGATACAAAGAAAACAGATCAGGAATTGGGAAAAATCACTTTGCCTTTTCTGCATTTTTCTGGTGGTCCTAATACTAAGTCTACATGGCTGATGATTCCCTTTCTGAAATTTCCTGCCTTGCATTTTTCTATTTATGACAAACTCATAATATAAGAGGGTGATTTAATTAAAACAAACATGCTTACAATACATAAGTATGTATTTAATATAACGCACGATTAAACTCCAAATCTCATTAATCGAGAGCATCGCCAAGTTAATTACCCATACAATCATACCATGCATCGCATGGTGAATTCTAGATGTATTGGATGAAATTTTCAAAAGTCACTAAATTATTCCATTTAATTTATGTCTTGTGGTTTCCATGTCACTTCTGACAATTTTTCCCATTACCTTTTCTAGCAATTCCCCCCATTTAGGTCTAAGACTCCTCTCTAAACTCCTTCCTATTTGGGGCATTTTAAATACCTTTTTCAGAGGTGCTCTTTATCTAGCACAGCACAATACTATGTTAAGTGTATAGTGGAATTCAATTTGGACAATCAGCATGGACACCTATAGGCCAGAAGTTTGTCCTACCAAGGCCAATGTAAACCTTTAAGCTCTCTGTAAATTCTGCTTTAATCACATTTAAATATACAGACACACATTTAGACACGAACAAATACAATGTGTACTCTAGTAGAAGTTACATACGTGATGGAAATCATCCCACCAGTCAGTACCAAGGGGGGAGGTACAATTCTCACTCCAACCTTCATTCCTTCCATACGCTAAATCTACCCCAAAAGGATGAACAGTTCCAATCCTACATAAATCCTACATACTACCATGATAATACCAAAGTCATCCCTCCCTAGTAAGACAATAATAAAAGCACCAGAATAAGATATCACAGACCCATTTGTAACAGAAGAGCCCTACCTTTTCAGTTTCATATAATTTTCACTAGCTGCAGGTCTGCATTCAGCACGTTGTACCACTATTCCTTCCAGGGAAAGCTTATCTAGAACGGAAACACAAAGCAAAGTTGCACATTAAAATAAAGTTCACCAGCAGAGTCAGCGTCTGAATTATTTTTCATTACGTAGAGTTTAGTAAACATAACGCAAGTTCTCAAATCTCTGCTATGTAGATACTGAAGAAGAAAGCACAAAAAACACATTCACACATCTTGTATCCCCCATACATCCTTGTTTCGCCATTAGATGTTTTACATGTTATAAATTAATCGCAAAGATCAAATTTTTAATAAAAAGCGGGTAACCGTGTAGTCCTCTGTTGTTGGTGCTGCATTCAGCTTACCTAGGAACTGTCTTCTAGAAATGTGCATTGAATACGGCTAGCATTCAATGAAAAAATAATCTACAAAGAGAACCCAGTCAAACTCACCAAAATTAGTGGAACATAAAATGAGAGCAAATTTTGTTTTTACCCTGTCTGACTTCAGTCAGAATAATGGTAACCTATTGTCATTTCTATAACAATAACAAGGTATTCTTCACCAAAGGAGCGTAATGCAATAAAATAATAATACATATGCTAACGCCGAGGAGAAAAAAAAAATCTTGCAGTTAGCAAACTAGAAGTTCGCCTACGTAAGAAAGTTTTAGTTAACACTGTTCTCTATACATCCACCTCTGTAACAGTCACTTTGCAAGCTGATCTCAACACCTTTTCGCCTAAAGCAACGATGTACCAGGGCAGTACAATAGTACCAGCCTCTGCCGTAAAGGAGGAAAAGCCTAAAAACTGAAAGTAACCTTACACAGAAAGCAAGCAATAGTGACCTTGGCTAAGCGCTCATTTTTCTGCTAGGATTTTCTAATACATAGTGAATGAGTGGGGTCAACTTAACCCTCTCTTTTGGGCACAGACAGCGCAGTAAGTCCAAAACATACACCTCTGGAACAGCCATGTGTAACACAAAAGGACGAGCTCCTTCACGTTAATGAATTGATCAGCTCTCACTATTTAAAACGTCCTTCCAAAAGAATCTCATCCTGCTATTAGTGCAGAGTACAACATTGCCACTGTCGCTTTCCACTGACGCTGTCGCAGAAGACAATAGAAGCGCTTAGAAGAATTGAGCCAGGTAACAAAAGGCACTCCTCCTGTAGGTGCCCCTGATTTTTCCAGTGCCTTGGAGACTGTACTATTACATCTGTAAATCTAAGCCTGCTCGCTCTCTGAATAATGCAAAGAACAATTATTTTGACACCAAGGTTTTACAAACGATTTCATTTACACTTTCTTGTTTTGATTTAGAAATTAATGAAGTCCTTTATGGGAAGAAGAACAACACACTTTTTTTTCTGGCAGTTTTCAATATATCAAAGCAAAATTTTATGAAAATACTTCTGTTTTTGCAGATTCGTAACGGTTTAAAGCCAGAAGAGAGAACTTAGTCTACTTACCGGACCTCCTGTGTACCATAGAAAATTAAATTGTATCCTCTTCTGTGAAGAACCTCATAACTTATGTGTGACTAAGGTGCTATTAACATTGGTGTTTAATTTCTAACATGAATCTGCCTCCAGTTTCTAGCAGTTGGTTCATTTTTCTGTACATTGTTAAAGAGCCTTTTAGTACCCGGCATTTTCTCCCTATGAAAGTGCTTACACATTGTAATCAGGTCACTTCTCAGTCTTCTTTACAATAAATGAAGCAGTTCAAGCTCATGCATTATCTCACCATAAGGCATTTTATACCACACTTAAATCAGTTTCGTGGTTCTTATCTGCACCTTGTTCCATTTTCCAATATTTTAAGAACATAGGCTCCATAAAGTAGATGTAATACTCCTGTACAGAGACATAATAACCACACAAGGATAAAATAACAGCTATAGGAGAAGAGTTTTTACATTCAGTCTGGAATTTATCTCAGCTCACTTTAGCCATCTCAAGGTTATTCAGTAAACTCTCTGAATTCAACAGAGAAAGGGAGGAAGGGAGACTTTCATAAGACAATTGATCCCATCTCTTTTAGGATTCAACAAACTGTCCTCTGCTGGTGTTTTTTTTTTTTCCTCCACTGACTGTGCTCTGTGTTTAGATGGCTAAAACTGGGTTATGATCAATTCCTCTCTAAAATAAAGCTCAGAGGCTTGATGGAGCTGACTCTCTATTATGGCCTTAATACATCTATTTTGAGTTTTTTCCAAGCCTCACATTGTACAGTTGCATGCCCTGTTCCTAGGTATATATTTGCCTCTAGCTTGGTTAAAATGCATTTTATTTAAGCAGATTCTGTGAATTAAGTGATCCAGGTCACACTATAACAGTCCTGTCATAGTTATTCACTGTCTGACCAGCATTTGTGTCAATCATGGCACATTTTATGAGCAGTGATTCCATCTTACTGCCGGCCCTTGCTAATCCTGGAGGAAGCCCTTCAAACTGCTACCTGAGAATGACTTCCTACTGATAATTACTTTCTGATAACTGTCAGCCAGCTCTTCATCTCATTCTGTGTTTGCTGATTTTTTTCTTTAACATAAATCAGAAAATCACAAGACACTAAATTACGTGAAATATGAAATGCTAACAGACTGCAACCATGCTGTTACTTCATCAGTCAAGCTCATAATCTCAAAAATAAATGAAATTATTTGATCAGAAAATCTTTACGTTAAGCCACGCTTGCCAGTACTCCTCAAATTTCTGTTCTTTCCTTTCCTTTTCTACCCCTTGAACTCCATGACCATTTTTCCATTAGTTTGTATGGCATAGGTGCAAGGCCTACTAGCCTATACTCATCTAAGTCATTCAGCCTACTTGTCTGAATGCTGACATGTCACTATCAATCTCTTTGAGCTGCAGAATTTTGAAAATATTCTTAAGTTTTAAGAATCAGCATCAGTGAACCAGGTATCTCCCACATTAATCTTTTAGAAAATGAAATAATAGATGTTTGAACCTTTCAATTAAAAATGCTTATTCCTACTAATATCTTATGATTTATTTTGTCTTTAGTAATATCCTCCTTTAATTACCAATGGCCTGGACTTCTTGAGTTTACCATTCCATTATTTCACCGACTGCTTCAGCATACAAGACTGTCTACAGTCTCTGAGATCATAAGGCCATAGCTAACCTGGTCTGCTGTCAAAACTTATCCACTGTCCAGAAGGCAAGGTTCACGTCCTACTGTTCTTGGACCCTCCTGGGGATTGTAACACATCCAGAGAACTATCAGAATAAATTTACTCTGGCAAAGATGCACCAGCTCTCCAGACACAAGACTGGAAAAAGAGAACACAGTTTTTATTCCCTTCACAGCCTAATTAGTCTTCATTCACCAAAACATCATGTATCTGTTTGTTAACTTCAGAAACCCAGATCGCTTTTCACCTGCTGCAGGGCCAGAGCTGCAATGAAGACATCCCAAATGCTAGATGTCTATCTGGATATGTGATTTTTCCACAGTCACATTAACCTGGAACCCAAAGGATGAATAAGGCGTGAAAGCAGCAATTTCCCACTAAAATACCTACTCAAAATAAAGCAGACAGAAATACACAGAGGAATAGGCTAGAGTCAGGAAGGCTAGCCAAGTTCGTGATTACAAGGGAAAACAGAGAGACATTTCCCCAAGCTCCTCACACTCTGAACGGTCTTTACATGAGGGGAAGATACAAGCACATTGTGAATGCAGCTTTAGACAGGCTGGCCTAAGCAACCCATAACTGCTTTGCTAGCTGCCAGATGTACACTCACCCCTAAATCCCTGCCTGAGCACCCCAATGTCTGCTTGTCTAGGAATTTCAACCGTTGACTCTTCTAGTGACAGGGGAGTGATGTGTGCTGTGCAGGTGCCAATTCCAGCTTCAGCTTCTGCTGACAAACTCCATCAAATAAATGAATGTGGTTAAAATGCTGAAGGCGATCTTAATAAACAGGCACAGGGGAAATTTACTGGGACTGTGCAGAAAACATTATTGACAGGGTTTCCTGAGAGAAAGAAAAGGAGAAAGAGAGCGAGAGATTGTCTAGGAGATTTTAATGTGCTAATTCTCTAGTCTGACTGCACCTGGCTCCAATTTACAGCCATCGGGTCTTGTTAGACCTTTGGCTGCTAAGTTGGAGAGCCTGCTATAAAAGCTTTCTGCCCATCCAGGCACTTACGCACTCTCCCCCTTTTGTGAGCTTAATAAATAATGTTTTCTGGACTTCTATTAGGCATGTTTTTTCCAGCTTCTTGACCATTCCGATTGGTTTTAGAAGGTCCAATTTACCAACATCTCTCCTCCACTGTGGGCCTCACGGGCAGACTTTATGGCCTGTGAGGCAGGACCTGCTGTTTGTCGTGAGAGCTGATGGGAAGAGGCACACAGGAAGGAGGAGATGGAGACCCACCTCCGAGGCTGCCATTCCCAGGAAGATGTGAAGGTGAGAAAAGTGCGGCCAAGACAACCGCCATGCCAGGCAGTGAGCTCCAGCTCGTCAGCAGGTAGAAAGTTGGGCCGTTTCCCAGCCGGGAGCCTCAGTGTTTCCCCTTTCCCTTGCCCCGCTCGCTGCTCAGGCTCCTGCAGTTGAAGGCTGGATGGGGGCCTCCCTGCTGCACCATCTCCTTCCTTATTTACTACACCCTTACTCTGTATCGCCTTCAAACTCTATCAGTAATCATATTCTTCTTGGTCACTGGTCAAAAATAAATAAATATATAACCAAGAACCAAATCACAGCAGCATTTCAGTGATAATTCTCTGCTCACATTTGCCTGCGTGAGACCTAGCAGATAATTTTTCTGTAGAGTTAAATGAAAGGGAAACTAATATACACTCTAATTCAAAATGACAGATAGGGCCTACTCACAGATTTAACCAAAAAATGCATTACCTCCTTTGATCAAACTTGTAACATAAAAAAAAATTTACATTGAGACAGTTCATTTTTCCTACACCCACACTGATGATTATTATTATATTACTCTCCCTTAATTTTTACCTGGCTGACCCCCAAGTCAGATTTGTTATTGTTTTGTACACAGTGTCACTTTTCA